CGACTGTCTCTGAGACTTGGCAAATGATACTACTCACTACTTACCACTTTAATCAGGACTTGATAAAAGGAAGTTTTCACTGAATGGAGAGTTTTGCACGTTGAAGAAGGCGTGTGTGTTCACATCTGCACACGTCCACACACTTCCTGCCGCCGCAACGAGTGGTGAGCACCGTCCGTGAGCACCAGTGATGGGTCGGGGGTGTCTCGTCGCCTCCACGGCACCCTTCCGCTCTCCCGACTGCAGCTGGAGGCCGCCCCATTCACCGCTACTAACCTCCATCGTTTCCCACTGAGAGGCACCCAGAGGAAAGGCTCCCTTCCTGAGTTCACATAGTAGGTGGCGGAGGTGGCAGCCTGGCCCGGAGCCTCGGTCCTTGTCCCGGGGGTGCACCCGCTCCTGGGCGTCATGCCATCTACCCTCCCTCGTCTGCGTTCGGGCCTTCTGTTTCTGGAGGCGTCTTCTGCAGATGAGGTTCGACCCATCGCTGTCCATCACCGAGCCAGAGCCCGCCTTGTCTGGCCCGCGCTGCACACCTTGAGAAGCTCTCGAAGCAGTAGCCCCTGCCCTTGAAAGAGACCTGAATTCAGTGAAGCAGCCTGACTCCACGGAGGAAACGGAGGCCTTTTCATGCAAGCACGAGCGGAAACCAAAACACTCAAATCTCTCGTCCAGTAGCCAGGGTTAGAAATGGGCAAAGCTGGCTGCGCCCTTAACGAGAGTGGGGGAGGGCATGTGCTTTCCCAGGAGGCTTGGGCTGCACTGCGGGGACCTCAGGGTTCCCTCAGCCTTTTCTGGCTGATCGTCTTCCTGGAGGGGATACAGCTGGGTCTCTCAGCTGACGAGGCCGATTTCAGTGGGTGCAAAGCAAAGAGGTGCAGAGTCTCTTGAGGTTAAAGAGGTGCTTTTGGGCAAAGCTCTGTGGGTCAGGGAGTCATGGAGGCTCTACTGTGTCGAGGGTTCTTGGCCGGGCAACAGCCGTGAGACCCTGGTCGGGGGGCTACAGACACACGGCCCAGCGCGGTAATATTCCTCGATGGCTGACCCGGAATCCGTGTGTCTTGAGGAAAATGATGGCTAAGGGCTGAGAAGTCACGAGGTTACCTCTGTGTGTTTAGGACCAGCGGCAGGAGTGGGGGGAACAGTGACCCAGGAGGAGGGAACAGCATGGGCACAGCCTCGGAGCTGGCAGAGAGGTCCGTAGCATGGGGGAGACTGAAAGAGGCTCCACGTTGTTGGAAGGGGTCCTGCAGGTGGAGGTGGAGGCCCCTGACTGGGACATGGGGGAGGTGGGGCCCGGGCCTCTGAGGATGCTGGGTGGTCAGGCCTGTATCCCAGGAGCAGGGCGTTGCCACCCAAGTATCTCAGTTAGATTTGCATGTTAGGAAAGCTACTCTGGCTGCCAGTGGGACGTGACCTTGAGGAGGTCAGAGCAGAGGCGGGAGGCCCCTTAGGAGGCCGTGCCTTCCTGCCGGAGGGAGACACTAGAGGCGTGGGCCAGGTGGTGGACACTATAGAAATGGAGAAGGCAGTAGAGGCAGGGGGTGTGGAATAGTGAGGATCCACCGGGCTCTGTGATTGGTCAGAAGTGGGCTGTGCTGAAGACGCAGCATCCTGAGCGTGTGACCTGGGGGCTCCCGGGTGCAGCGCCCTGAGCCTGGAGCTCCGGGACGAAGGGTACGGCCCCCTCTAAGGCAGGGGGAATTTGCAGCATCTGTGGGGCAGCCACGAGTCCAGTGGCCGCCGGGTGTGTGAGTGTGAAGCTCAGGAGAGAGGTGACCCGGGAGACAGGCATTAGGCGTCCGAAGCTGGCTGAAGGGGGCTTCCTGAGGGGTATGGAGAGGGGGGAGAAAAGTCTAGAACGGGACTGCAAGGACACCCACCTTTAAGGGAGGGGCAGGGGACAGAGGAAGGTGGTCGCCCTGGCAGTGAGGGCTGTGGATGCTCCGGGAAATGAGGGGTCACAGCAGTGTCATGGGAAGGTCACCTAAGCGAAGGCCTGGAGTCGCTGTGGCCTTGGCAGGAATGGAGACTTGATGGCGGCTGGAGAGGTCGGGGGAGTGCGTTGGTTACTGGACACCGGGGTGAGTGCACAGCTTGGGAGCTGTCTGTGCTGGGCTGGGCGGCGGGGAGCCTGGGGCTCTGGGTGCTTTCAAGGGGAGAGGCTGGCGTGGGCTGGAGTGTGGAGGAAAATGCAGGAGGTGCTCGATCAGACGGTGGGGCAGGGGCCGTGCCCAGCGGGCAGGATCCCCCCACCCCACCCCGTGGAGGCAGGTGCTCCCTCCGTCTGCCTGGAGGGACAGGCAGAGGCCGGGCGTCCGGCTTGTTTTGGCTTGAGTGGTGGGCAGAACTGCCCAGCCTGTTCTGATGGTTTTGGTTTTCCCTGAAGCAGGAGGTGAGCTGAGCGAAAAGGGGGTGGGATCCTGGGCTGGAGGAGAGCGAAGAGAGGCTGAGACGGTCACTGGGGGAAGGCGGAAGGTGGAAAGGAGCCCACGACTGCCGGAGTACGGAGAGAACAGAGCTGGAAATGGGGTGCGGGGGCACGCCCTCACCTTCACTTCATTCCGTCTGTCTGTCCTTGTTATGTTATCCAGGACTGACGTGGGCTCGTGGTTGCTCTCTGTTCTCTGTGACCCTCGTGAACTGTAAAACGCGACGTCCCTAGGATCTGGCTCAGTTTGGCAGCGTTCCCTGTTAAGCAGCATTGGGGGTCTCCGCGGGTACAGCCCTCCCTCTGCGGGTGTCGCCTGACCTCGGGTCGGGGAGCCTTCAGGAGCCTGGTTAAGGCAGCGCCCGGCGGCCCCCGGGCAGCGAGCGGAGGGTGGGCCACGAAGGCCTGTCTTGTTTGCCGCTGTTTGTCCTTGTAAGATGGTATTTATCACGCTGCTCCAGGCAGATGGTGCTTCGTGGGGTACAGGCTAAAACACATTATGCTGATGCATTCTCGCCCGCGGGACCCTCACAAACTAGACAAGACACTTTCTGGCCCGAGCAGTCAGCTGTGCAAACGCTTATTATTAAACGTCACAGTAAATATTTTTTTATTTTTTCAAAGCAACTCTAAGGTATTTGAAGCAGAACTTTGGAAGCCAGAATGAAGTTATTTCTATTTAAGGTTCTTTTCAAAATTTGCATCTCGGGCTTCCCTGGTGGCGCAGTGGTTGAGAGTCCGCCTGCCGATGCAGGGGACACGGGTTCGTGCCCCGGTCCGGGAAGGTCCCACATGCTGCGGAGCGTCTGGGCCCGTGAGCCATGGCCGCTGAGCCTGCGCGTCGGGAGCCTGTGCTCTGCAACGGGAGAGGCCACAGCAGTGACAGGCTCTCATACCGCTAAAAAAAAATAAAAATAAAAAATAAAGTTGAATCTCAAAGCAGAGAGTTGGAATTCCTTGATCTGGCCGGCATTGAAGGACAGGGTTAACACCTGGGGAAAAACACCACTAATTCTGGAGTGCAGATTTAGAGGTAAACTTGGCTTACCTGTCCTTGATCATCTTGACTGTGGCGCGTTAAGGCTTGAGGGGCTTGGAGGTGGACTGGCTCCAAATCCTGGCAAAACAGCTTCACTTCACTTGTGCCTTTACTTGCTTTGCAATTATTTTCTCCCCGTGTGTGGCTCGTCTTTATTGTCTCAGCAGAAGTTCTTTTGAAGAGCAGAAATTCTTCATTTTGATGATGTACAATTGATCCAGTATTTTTCTTTTCCAGATTTTGCTTTTGGTATCATATGAAAGAAATCTTGGCTTAGCCCAAAGTCACAAGTATCTTCTTCTAGACGTTTTATAGTTTTAAGAATATAAGATCTATGATCCATTTAAAATGAATTTTTATTTAGGGTGTGAGGTATGGAAGGAATTTTATTTGGTGCTGGCCGAGGGGGCACCTTTGTCCCTTGTTGCAAATCGGTTGACCATATATATTCTGGGTAATCCGTTTAAGGTGGGTTTCTGCCTACTTGCTTTTGGAAAACAATGCTAGCAGCTGTTTAGGTAATAGGTGTGGCATTTTCCAGCGTTCAAAGTGTTATCCAGTTCTCTTTTCAATTAGATTTCGAGCTTTATTGCAGCCCCTGGAGGTATTTGACATGAGTATTATTTCCTCCATTTCATTCAGGAAGGGGGAGCCCCCCCTGGTAGAAGGAGTCACTTAGAGTCAGAGACAGAGGGGGGCGTCCCAGCCAGGGTCAGAACATTTAAAATCCAGGACCTTTTCCCAATCGCATATAGATGAGGGTGGGCTGAGGCCCTGGCTTCCCACCAAACTGAATTTTAATTCTAGCTCAGTTCAGTACTAGCTGTGTGATCAGGGGCAAAGTAATTAACATCTCCATTGTCAGTTTCCTTGCCTTCCTGCGCAGCTAACTCCCTGTAGGAGGTCTGTTGGAATTAAAGATAAAATATACACCGGTCTAGCACAGCGGCAGAGCATGTATTAGGATCTATCATTATTACCATCACTCTTATTTTCTGAAAGTGTGGGTTTTCTAGAAGATACAGAATGTGAATATAGGAGATAAAGTTACTAAAGAAGAAAGTGATTCCAAGTTCAGGGACCTGGATATACAGGCAGTCATTTCTGGAATGGAACAAAGGCAGTCATTCTAATTGTTGAATGTGGTAGAGCTACAGGGAATTTGTTGGTGGGGGATTCTTCTGGGGGCACAGGTCTTCATTTGCTAGGATTTCCTTTGGGTAAAGGGGAAAATCACATAAAAGCTTAGTACGGTATAGGCATTCGTGAGCAAGCATTGAATGTTGGCTTCTGCTAATATCACTTTTATTATGTGTCAGGATATCCATGTTAACACATCTCCACTGTTTGTGGATCAGAGGCTTTGTTTTTTCCCCTCTGTTTTTGTTGTGTTTAACCATCAGCTTCTCATCAGGAAAGTGATCTTTGTTTGTTTTGGTATGTGTGTGGTTTTTCAAAGTAATTACAACTTCGTATGAAGATTTGCCAGCTGCCTTAGGTTCAACATTCTTCTTTGTTCTTGGTTTGCAGGGTGCAGCGCTGAAATACTTGCCAACCATTGTCAACGATGTGAAATTGGTATTTGATCCCAAAGAGCTCAGGTAAGGAAGCACCCAAGGCGAAGGCTTCCCGTGTGCCATGCTTGGCCTCCTTTTGAGGGTGTTAGTTCACGGGATGCTTGGGTTGTCTCATGACCACATAGTTCAGTGCCCTGACTCTTTCTGGAACATGTTCTAGTGATGGTGTCTGTGACACTTTGCTCATTATGTCTTTATGTGGAAAAGGTGTCATCTATCAACAGTCACAATATTTTCTTTAGAAGATTATTTATAGCCTCATGCATACATAATACAAATTGGGCATTTTGCATCCTTTAGACTTTAAAATTCCATAAGTGGTTCTTGGGTTTGGGTTTGGGTTTCAGCACCTAAACGTTTTGACTCGGGAGCTTTAATATTGGTGTCTCACCTCCTCTACCTCATTACCGTACAGCTTCTCTCTGGGGGCTCCTGCCCAAGGGCTGTGAGCCTCAGACAGGAGCCGCAAGTTGTCAGCTCAGGTTATAGTAAAACAAAAACCAAAGCAAACCAAACTCTGGGCAAGCTGGACACTGGCTTTCAGATGGAGGAGTCAGGCTGGGGACCGAATCCTTCCTTTCACCTTCCGATTTTGCCACCGTCCCCATCCAAGCTCAGTCTCAGTTGTTTACTGTGCAGATGTCACTGCATTTGGAAAAGAGGTGTCTCGAGCAAGTGGGTGCACGGCCTCTGTGACCCCAGACATCCACAGCACAGCCCTCGTCTGCTCCTTGTTTGGGTTTTGATTTAACATTTGACACAATAAACTTACCTGCAGGTGGTGGCACCACTTGACCAGCCAGAAGAGTCCACCTAAATATTAGTAAAGAGCCATCTGTCCCTCAGGTGGTTAAACGGAATGAAAAACGGTCACCCTTCTGTACTTTATGTCCACCATAGGTCACTCATGCCCTGGAAGTGAAGGGTGAGGGGCTTTTGGGAAGCTGCTCTCCTCACGAATCATCACGTGCCTGATGTGCCTGAGGATTTAGTGTCCTGCATGGACACATTTATTTTTGCTCCCAGGCGCTGACAATACTGGTTATAGTTTAGCAGGTTCTAAATGAGAAAAGGAGGCACAGATGGGCCCATGGGCAACAGGTCTGCCCTCCCGGGTCTCCGTGTGCTCTGTGACTGCAGCCCGGCTCTCAGGCAGTGGTCCAGACAACGGCAATATCAGCAGCCCCTGGGAATTTGCTGCATCTTGGGTTCCTTCCCAGATCTTCTGAATTAGGAATTGGGGGCGGGGCCCAGCTATTTGGTTTTAATGATGCCTCCAGACACTTTCAGTGAATGCTGCTGTTTGAGAACCTCAGGTCTGGAGAAACAGAGGACGAGGGGGGAGCTGCAGTTGGGTGGGCCATGGCCATGCTCTGGGCCTGTCCTCCTGGGGCATGGGGACCAGGCCTCTGCTCACTAGAGGGGTGACGTCCATGTTCACAACGGGTGCTTGTGCCTTGTGCTTGGAGATCCCGGGAAGACTCCCTTCCCCAGGACTGGTCCCATCTGCTCTTGGGCCCTTGACTCTTTCTGCCTGTGCGTGGGTTCCTCTTCAACACCTTACCTACTGATTTTTTAAAAAATGACATTGAAAATCATGGATGTATTTTTCCCTGTTTAGAAAATTGAGTCATGTTTTGATGAAACAGAAGAGATCACAGAGGAGAATAACTCAAAGTTAATTCCACGAGGATCTGGATCTTCCTAGTTATCTTTTGTGTGCCAGCGTGTGTGCACACACACTAACACACACGTACATACACCCCTAAAAGAATTCAGCATTACAGTTTTTATTTTACAGTCGACTCCTGTGCTGAAGACATCTTGTTTTCCCACATCAGGAAGGAGACTTCTACCCCATCACCATAATCTACTGTTAGAACAGTTTTGTCACCCCAATAAGATTCCTCGTGCCCAGTAAGAGTCATTGCCCACTCCCACCCCAGCTCTAGGCAACTACTAACCTACTTACTGTGTGCATAGATTTACCTTTTCTGGGCATCTCCTATAAATGGAATCGTATAATATACGTGACCTTTTGTGACTAGCTTCTTTTCACTTAGCATAATGTTTTCAAGGTCTGTTAATGTCAGGATTTCATTCCCTTTTATGGGTGAATTGTGTGGATCTACTGCATTATGTTTAGCCATTCATCAGTTGATGGACATCTGGGTTTTTCCACTTTTCAAGTGTTATGAATAACGTTGCTATGATTCATATACAGGGTCTTGTGTGGATAAATATTTTCATTTCTTTTGGGTATATACCTAGAAGTTGAAATGCTGGGTCGTATGGTAACTAAATTTAACATTTTCAGGAACTGCCAAGCATTATTCCAAAGTCTGCCCCATCTTGCATTTCCACCAGCATGGTACGAGGGTACCAGTTTCTTCACATCCTAGTCAACACTTGTTACTGGCTCTCTTTTGGATTATAGCCATTTTAGTGGGTGTGAAGTGAAAAATAACATTTTAAAGCATCGTTCTTTTGGAAGAGATTTTGGCCCATATTGTATAATGGGCCCATTCCAACATTCTGGTGGCATCTAATGACCATTCACTGAACTTGTGTCTCGGTACTGTCTTGTATCCCACTGGGTCATTTTGCAGTATTTCCAGCATCTCTTTTCACTTGTGTTTTTCCTTTTATAGCAAAATGTTTACTGATTTCATCCTAAATGTTCCCGTGGGTTTGCTGACCATTCAGAAGCTATATTGCTTGATTGAAATAATTCACAGTGACCTCTTCACACAGCATGGTGAGTGAAACCCTGAGAATCCTTAAATTGTCACATTTGTCTTTGTCTGTAGACCTCGCCCCATCTGAATTCTCTCTTCTTTGTCGAAAGGAGTGGGGAGGGGCTTCCCTGGTGGCGCAGTGGTTGAGAGTCCACCTGCCGATGCAGGGGACACGGGTTTGTGCCCCGGTCCGGGAGGATCCCACGTGCCGCAGAGCAGCTGGGCCCGTGAGCCATGGCCGCTGAGCCTGCGCTCCGCGACAGGAGAGGCTGCGGCAGTGGGAGGCCCACGTACCAAAAAAAAAAAAAACAAACAAACAAAGAAAGGAGTGGGGAGGTTGCAGCCAATTAAAACAGCTCCATTACAAGACAGGAAGATTTAGCCCTTACCAGAGAATGGTAATTGGCATATACTGTAGGTAATAGATCATTGAAGAATGAAGGCACAAACCTTGTAGTTCGGAATTAGGTGTACACCAGAGCCGTAGGATAATCAGCATACATTGTAGCCTTTAAGATGTGCGATTATCTATCCTGGGGAGGCAATCACTGTCCTCCGTTGAGATGATTGCAACAAAAAATTTCAAATTTTCTTTAAATGTAGAAGTCACGGTTATGTCTTAGCCTGAACTTTGCATTCCGTGACAGGGTTTCTTCAAACCCTGCTCAAAGGAAAAAGAATTTTAATGATTCCTCAACTCATTTATCCCAAGGAACACCTCACATTTCCACACGTTATCTCCCTTTTAATAAATCACTTTCTTTCTGTTTGGACAGATTGGATTAATATTTTACACTTGTCAAGAAGTTTTATTGAAAGCTTAAGACCTTTGCATAATTCCACAACCTTCCTCACTTACTGGTGACAAATGTAAAGACTGTTGAGTGACATTCTGATGGAGAGGCATACATTTATTCTATTCCATTTGTGTCTAGACGTTTGGCTGTTCTGTTCATTTTCTTTTATCCTCACGTGTGGTGTTGTTTCAGGGATGGAACAGCTCAGGCCTGAGATGTCCCTGTTGAGAACTCAGTGTGTGTCTGGATTAGTCCTTTGTACCATCTAGACTACTGGACCCTATGTTTTTAATCTTATTTCTTGATTTAACTTGATACAGTTCACTGGAGTCTGCACTTATAGCTAAGGCTTATGTCAAGAGGAAATGTTAAGACTTCATTTGGGTGGGAGTGTTCTTCTGGAGAAAACACATCAAACCAAGAAGGGAGTAGCTTTTTGCAGCCCTTCCAAACAGACATCCTTTCTCACTTGCATAAAAGAAAGTCAACGGTGTCGCCGTTATTTGGGACTCAAAGCCCGTGAATCTCCTTAAGCCAGTAATCCCACCCGTCAGTATTTCAGGCTCTTCTTGGAAGGCTGGATATTGAATTGCTTATTCTTCAGGTGTCTTCCAAAGCTTGGGACTTTGTGAGACTCCAGGGAGGCATGGAGGCGATAGGTGGAGATGCTGCTTCATTGTTTCTTTCCGTATTGACTAAACTTTATACCACAGCAGGTGAAATCCCCTGAAAGTTTTATATCTGGGTCTTATTAGGTAGCTTACTAATATCTCTCCTTCCAACCATCCAACCCCAAGATACGCAAAAACACACACCACCATGACCACCACCATCACCATCACCATCGCTGCCACCACCGGTGCCTTCACTGAGCTAACAGTTATCAAAAAAATGACAGTTATCACGGGTTGACTGCGCTTGGCTTTTATTGAATGTTGATACAGGGATGACCTTCTTGAGGACATATTACATACATTTCAAAATTTCTGTTGCAAAACTTTGTTCCACGTCCTTTGAATAAGGACCTAAGGCATAAACGGTTCAACTAAAAATCTTTAAAATAGATCTTCTTAAGGAGTGTATTTCAAGGAAATGTTTCCTTCTGTGGACACTTTATTTCTTTAGCTAGTAGATAGCTTGAAGGCAAACTTAGTATTTATTTTTGCAAATTATATCAGCCGTTGTTTTTGGCAGTTGTGGTTCTCTTTACCGTGCTCCATTTCTATTTCACTCCTGTTCTGTAAGTCTTTTATCATAGACTGCCTTAAGTCTTGTTTTGGAAATAATGCAGCATGCAAATAAATATTTAACTTTGTTTGACGGGGTCTTGTCAGGATGTGTAACATTTTGGAATTATTAACTTAGTATCTTTCTAGATATTGCAAAGGTAGGAATTTAATCTTAATAGTCAGTTGCACCCAACGTAGTAAATGAGATTGTAGGAAATATATGAATCCAGAATTATCACGGGCAAAGTGAGCCAAAATTAGCCTGAGGCTTCATGTCTTACAAGCAGTTCTAGAATTGTCCAATCAGTCGACATTGTCTAAGCCATAATCTTCAGTGCAAATGTACTTCCAGACGCTCACTGGCTGCCTGGAAGCATTTCAGAATGCGCTGTCCAATGTGAAAATGGCCCCGCTTACAGGCTTGAGTTTTAAGGTTGTTTCTGGGTGAAGACAGCAAGGACAGCCCAGATTTTTCTCATCTTTAGGCTCCCTGCTTCTTCAGAGTTACCCAGAGCCGTCTTACCTCCTTGTCAGGAAAGGTTTATCACTGGAATTCATCCAGTTGGTCTGTTCTTACGAAGATGTCATTACTTGTGCAAAATATGCTGTGCCACATGTGGTATAAATATTTAAAGCCAAACCATTTTCTGGTGAGATATGAGGGCTGTCATTTTCTTGCCTCGTTCCATTTCTTGTTAATTTGTAAAAAAAAATGCAGTTGTCCGTGTCCTCTTTCCTGATCCAAGTGGAATCAGTCAAACTAACTCCCTTCGTGTCTAGAGTTTTGGAATGTGCTGTAACTAGGTTTAGCTGCTCAAGCTACTGGATGTGCTAGACCTTCGTCAGTGTTCTCTGGGGGATGTGGTCAGAGTGCATCCCTGTCTGGCTCCTCCGGTTCCTCTGTGGGGCTCCAGGGCACGTCTTTGCTCATCAGCATGTGTGTTGCTTCACTCATAGAAGAGACTCACTTTGTTGCTTCGCTCTGAAGTGCTTCTTTCTGTCTCCCTCCAATATCAAAGTTATTGCGTCGTTTTGAGAGTCTTACTTTGATGGAAGTGGGAAGCTGATCTGGGTGCAGCGAGGCTGGCAGTGAATTCTGAAGCTGCCATTGCTCCTCTGCAGGAAAGCCTTCCCTTGGCAGGTTTGGGTCCCAGCAGGCCAAGGCTTCCAGGGCCCCGGTTGGCTCAGCCTGGCTCCTCTTCTGTCCTCGTTAAGGACCAGAAGACTGAGGGTGCATCCTGCTGGGTTTGTTAGGCTACAACAGGAGATGTGTCTTTTGGCAAATCGGGTTGTGTTTGGCCCCAGCTAGTGTGGACACCACAGCTGCTGTCACTGCCGTCTGTCCCCAGCCGTGCCAGCTGTGAGGCTCCTTCTGAATCAGGACCTTGCAACTCCCACTGCCTCTGCACCCTCCACCCTGGTCCGAAGGAAGTGAGAGTTCTTTACAGAGCTGTCCTCCCGCTGCTCATTTCCAGTTGCCATCCTAAGAAGTCATGCCTCCTTGGCAGAACCTGGAACATAGTTGTAGTTGCAAGGGTGGCTGTGGATTCGGGTTCTGGCTTCTGTACTGGGGAAAGAGAGCTCAAAATGTAGAAACCCCTCCCCGCCCCAAATTTAAGAAGCCTGTTCAGAAGATGTGTGTGGACCTGGCCCTCCTGCACGTCGGCCACAGTAGATTACTGACCATGCCAGTGGTCCAGCCCCTCGGCAGGTGTCCAGCGACTCAGAGTGCATGGTTGGTTGCCAGTCACATTAGCCTTTTCTCTGAGGACATGTCTCTCTCCCTTTGCTTTGCTTAAAAAATGAATGACTGGTTTGCATCATTTCTCCTGTAAATGATTTTACTTCCTCATTAATAAAGAACTACGCATGTCTGAAGCCCTTGCTGGGATGAGGGCAGGCAGCTCACGAGAGGATTGCGAGTGTTTGTGGGCTTTGTGATCACGTTGCCTGGGCTCAGATCCTGCCTCTATTACCTGCTAACTCAGTGACCTCGGGTAAGTTACCCTCCAGGCTTCAATTTCTCCAGCTGCCCTTTTCTTTTTGCCTCCGTTACGTATCTTGAAGATTAATACATGTGTGGTACTGAGATTTACACTGAGTGTTTCATGAACATTCAAGAAATGTTAGCCATGTCTTTTCATTTTTGTTGAGGATTCATTAGAAGAATGGCCGGTGAGACCCTGCCCTCGTGGCGGGGTGCGGGGCTATCATGTCAAATATGGGGCAAAAGAAAATAGACCTGGACCAAATACTGGAAGGGATTACATAGCGAGCTTCCTCCGAGAGGTGCTCTGATCACCCTGCGTAAATAAAATGTCCCCAGACACACTGCCCCTGGGCTCCTTCTGCCACTCCCCACAGCGTGCAATCATTGCCTGGTTTTACTTCTTGGCTTGCTTGTTTTCTCTGGTCCTTCCTTAAAATGAGAGGCCTTGGAGCATGGCCTTCTTGTTCATCTTGCTGTTCCTCCATCGCTGGTGCCTAGAACAGTGCCTGGCTCACAGTGCATATTTATCTCATGTTCAGATGCAGCACTTCTTTCCCCAGGGAGCAGTGCAGAGAAGGAAGCGTGACATGCATCTGTAGTTCCCTTGATCTGAGGGAGGAGAGGTCTTGTGTTCACACGGGGAAGCTGGCTGTCTCTCCCCGTCTGGGCTCTGAATGGATGGATCATGGAGCAGGAAGGAGGTGTCTTTGAGGAGGAGTAACAGAAAGAGATAAGTGAGAGAGTTAAGATACGGAGGGTCATCCGTGAGCAGTTTTATAAAATTAAGATTGTCTTCTCTTTTTTTTTCTTTTTATATGATTGCATCTACCGAGAAAACCATCTCTGGCCTCCCAGGCAACTGCTTTGGGGTCTCTGGTGTCCCGTCCACTGTGCTGAGGTCTGGATGCAGATCATAATTATGATAGTTCAATAGTGTTGAGCTCTTACTGTGTGCCAGGGGCCATGGTAAGCCCTGATCTGTCTATCTGTCTATGTTAAATTTT